CACCAAAAGTTCCACAGGAACTTAAGGAAAAAATTTTTAACAGTGAGGGTGCCAGAGCACTGGAACAGGCTGCCCAGAGAGGTTGTGGAGTCTCCTTCTCTGGAGATCTTCAAAACCCGCTTGAACGCAGTCCTGTGCCACGTGCTCTAGGTTACCCTGTGTGTGCTGGGGAGTTGGACTAGATGATCTCTAGATGTCCCTTCCAACCTTAAGCATTCTATGATTCTATGATTCATTCTATGATTCTAAGCGTTTGGTACCTCTACAGCAAATTGCAAGATGGTGGATTGACTGTCTTGAAAAGCCTTCCTTAAATTTTTAAACACTTTGAGCCCCTCTTTTTACACAACTCCAAATTCCCATACACTTTCCATATGCTCATTTGTGAAAAGCGATGAAGAGTTAAAAAAGGGTTTTTGGATTGTCATCTTCATGATTATTTGCCCTCCATAACTCTAGTAGCATACTCAGGAGTGAGAAACTGCAAAATCTGGCAGGAGTTAAATGTCTTTAGGCTAGAATGATTGTAAAACACTACCTCCCTTGAAAACTACTGTAATATTTAAATTACAACAGGGTAAGGTTTTTTTTCTTTTCCTTTTTTTAATGCATAGATATCTTATACTAGAGCCTCCTTGAGTTCTTTAATAAACACACGACCCTTCTGGGCTTTCTCCTGCTCCGGCTACTTGGGAACTTGGCAGCTCGGACATTCAGCACTGCGGGGGCGCAGGCGCATGCGCGCACAGGTGCCCGTTGCGCTACGCTCAGCATGGGCAGACTGCCGTTTTGTGCCAAAATTTATTTGGGGTCCCACACCCAGAGGACAAAGCAACCAAGCAGGAGGCAGTAGAGATAAATAGTGAAGCAGGAACCCTGAGCTGCATGACAAAACTGTGAAATGATACAAGCGCATAGGAGTAAGTCCTTGTAGTCGACAAAATCTATCTCCTCACTGGCTGCGCTTTCCTTCGTAGGGCTCTAAATAAATTTTTCCTTCTGTGTCTGCATCTGTGCCAAATTTTTCTTCCTGAATATAAAGGGATAAGACATTCCCACTAGATACGTGTTCTCTTTCTGTGCTTTATCTCTGTGCGCTGGAGTCGTGGTTGGGGTTGGGGAGCTCGAGAGGCAGATGGAGCCCCAACGTGGCCAGGGATATGGAGCCGCACGTGTCTTTCATGACCTGAGCAGA